ATTAAAGGGAGAAAAAAAAAAAAAAAAGTAACAAAATGAAACCCCACAAAACCCTAATACAGATCAACCGCCTGAAGAGAAGAACAGGATTAACCCGAAATAAGTAATCATCGATGGATGATTCAACAAACATTCCGCGCAGATCAAGTAAACAAAACAACTGAGGTCCTGAAAACAATAACATCGAAGAAGAAGAGGGAGAAGAAAACAAGCACCTGCAAGGGCAGAGAATAGAGCTTCCGATAGAGATCTGAGCGCCTAGAACACAAGGAGAGAATAGAATACCAAACTCGAGAGTAAAGATTCTGAGGCTTTATAGCATTAGGGTTTTTGTGATAAAATAAAGGGTTAAATGAAATATAAACCCCTCTTTGACATAGTTTAAAGATTTCAAAAATTGTTATATGTTTTTTTTTTTTTTTTTATAATAATTGTAACACACATTAATATCGATTTGTCTGAACAAAAGACTGATTTTTATGTATTTATTTATTTATTTTAATATAAATTAATATCTCGTAGTTAATTGAATATAATCGAATTTATTAAGATTTTACATCTTTTTAATATAAATTATCAATTAAAATAAAATTCATCCAATCTTCGTAAAATTAAATGAAAACATGGTGGAAATAGAAATGGAAATATCTAAAAATTAATAAAAATATGAAAAATAGAAATATCAACCCATTTTCAACCTTATTTGAGTTATTGAATCATACAAATGTTATTTTGATAATAAAAATTAATAAATTGCATAATAATAATGGACTATTTTTTCATCTAACTAATTAACCAATATTTCTTTATTTTTATCTATTTCTAATTAAATAGAATGTCGTTGTTTAATAATAAGTAATGTTTTAGCTGTTAATTTATTATAATTTTTTAATACATAATATCATCTAATTATAAAACGGATTTTAAAATTAACCAATTTAATGGATTAAATTAATAAAAATGCTTATACTCTTTCAAAACTTAAAAATAAAAAAAATATATACCAAATAGAAATGGTTTTCATGTTATTCTTTCATTTTGAAAAATGATTTAAAAAATACTATCGAGTCACTCAAAAGTTTAATTAATAACTTTAAATTTATTTTAAAAAACTTTAAAATAAAACCCATTTAAAAAAAATAAAAATATATATTTACCGTTTCAAAACTACTTATAAATTTTGAATTCAAAAGTAACATTAAAAACTTTACATGAAATTATGAAGGGTCAACCGACGATTTCATTTATATATTAAGAATTTTGGTGAACATATTATTTTTACATTTATAAAAGACGTTAATCATACTTTTAAAAATTTATGAATATTTTTTAAATACAGTACTCATTATAAAAATATTCATAATTTTTTTTAAAAGAGGATCGATAAAACATTTAAAGGTTTATAAGTATTTTTTAAACATCATTAAACGTTTAAGATTATTTTTTAAATAAAATATCAACCGTTTGTACCTAAACAGTTTCTTATTTGTAATAATTTTTTTTTGTTGTTCTTCTAATGATTGAAGGGAGGGTTATACTGTAATTTGGCATGGGTTGTTATATTGTTAAAGATACGTGTCAAATTATTTAGGTAAATAATAGTAAAATTAGACTAAACAAAATAATAAATAATATAAACTAAGTAACGAGCATATTAATAAATATTCAAGACATCTTAAAATATTTTATAAGATTTTATTTCGTTACGGTTAATTCAAGGTTTTGTCGGTGAACCAAAACTTGAATCAATTCTATTTTAGTTCATAAAATTAACTCAATTCGAGATTTAATCTAACGTAACTTTTTTATCTNATAAAATTTTTTTTTATTTATTATAATGATTTGCTTTTTTTTTTTTTTTTTTTTTTTTTTTTGTATTATTATTACAGAAATAATCTTGAATATAGAATTTATCTATTAAAAATTTTATTTAAAAGAAATATATATATTTTTTTAAAAAATTAATAAAAGAATGTTAAGAAATTCTTAATCCCTCGTAATTATTATCCATCGCCCCCACAAATTTCGCGCATAACGTAAATTGAAATGCGCGCGGACGGAAAGACATTTCTATTCTAGTCTCCCCTGCCTCATCCCTTCCCCGAAGGGCTGCTCATCGATGAAGAAGCCATGGAAGATCAGGCGAGCTTGCCCAAAATTAGGGCGCCTTTCACTTGCACCGCAGAGATCATGCCCAATGTCCCTGTGGAGGAGGGTATTGGAAGCATTGGACGTAGTTCTTTTTATTGTTGTCCTAAACAAATAGCGTTTCTCGTTGTATGCTTTTGGGTGTTTTGTCTTCGTACTGTAAAGTGGCAGGAATTGAATTGATTCAACATCTTTTTACGTTTGTTTGTTTGTCTGTTTGTGCTTGAATTATGTTCTAGGATCTACCGATACAATCTTCTCAAAACCAGTCGGAATTTATGGTAGTTATCTAAGATTTGTATAGCTTTTTTCACGTATTTAGATTATTTAGGTGCTCCGTGATTGTTTGTTTCTGGATTTTGTATTTGTCGTGTTGGCTGGTAGGAATTGTTCTTCCTTTTGCTGCTTTTAAACTTACTGTCATGTATCTTAACCTTCTGAAAATGTAATGGAGATTTAGCCACTGGCAAAGAGTTAGGTTACCAAGCTCTTTTGGCCAAGAACATTTACTTATATGACTTCTAGATACAGAATGTCTGCTTGATTGAACATGGGAATAAACATTTAGTGGCTTTATCACAGCATAAATCACTTTATGATGTTGGAAAGGTCAAGCTTGAATGCAAGAATTAGTTTCATTTCAATGATTTGAACTTCAATTTGAACCAACTATCTTATTTGGTTCGTGCCCTGACTAATGGTTCTTGTATTTCATCAAATTTAGCTGGTACGAATTGACTCTTTTTATGAGATATCAATCTTAGATTTTCTGAGGGTACTCAATCTTTCTGAGCCTGTGATTAATCACTTTAGTTGTGCTCCACTGAATAAATATGTCCTTGTCTTGAGCTCGTACATTTATAGCTCTGAAGCTGGGGCTCATGGGTGATTGAATTAATCGGTTTTATCATTTAATTGTGAGCTTCACTTTTTCTACGACAAAATTACATTCTCAATATTGCTTCCCTATGCTTCACAGGTAATCTTGTTTTATATTTTGTTTCATCGATTATCGCCTTGCATTAGAACCGTGGTTATCATGTTCCTTGACCATGAAGTTCTCCTAGCTGTCAGTTTATTGTGAGCTGACAAGGATTAAACCTGAGAGCGCAGTTAGGGAATAAGTCAACCCAATCCATTCACATTCCCGAGAAAGGAAAAATGTGCAAGACGAGAGAGTTGCACATTTTGGTAGTGCAAAGACAAATATTTTTTAACTTTCATTCTCCACAGCCCATCATCGTGTATGTTTATGGTGTTTTTTAAACCAACTTTTAATTCTAAATTTCTATTACTTTTCAGATTGGAGGCTTGTACCATATATCTTTCTGGACAACGAACTTGTTTGTTCTGCAGTTTCTATGCAGAAGTTGGATTTTTTATGAGTTCACCTGGTAGAGTTCTATAAACAACTATGTGAAACCAACCCAAAACATTTAATTAGATTTCACAGCATTCTGTCAACAGTTGTTACAGATATTGATACTATTTTGATACTATCAAGGTCGGCCTAGCAATGTTATTGACGTACTGTGCTTCTATTTCTTTTAGTAAATAAATGTTTATTTTCTCAATTGTGTACCATATGACTTGTTATTAGGTACGTAGAGTAGTAGAAAAGCACCCCTCTGCACTTATTGTTCTGTTGCCCTGTCTTTCGTTTCGCTGCACTTGAGGTCGAATTGTTATATATAATTGAGGTGTAGGCTGTTGCTAGGTCGTTTTGTAATTATAATCTTGCTTTTGTTCTTTTGAATTGAAGTACTTCTACATAGTTAGAGTGTGGATCGTTTTTGTTCGGGCTTGTTTTTTGTATGGCCTTGTATATTCTTTCATTTTCTCAATGAAGTACGGTTTCTTACAAAAAAAAAGTGTAGGGGTTATGTTGCTTGACTTCATTAGAGGATAATTATCACACTTTACATTTTTCGATTCCCTTTGTTAATGTTGTGTTGGCCTAAAATCCGAATATAACGAAGACGAGGAAACATGGATGACATGTCCACTTGTTTATAATTTTGATAATCCTGCCCACATTAGTTTATGTAATAGTTTAAGTATGTGAGGATGATTTATTGAATTCATAGCCTGTAAAACTTCCTTATTTACCACGCCTGTCTATGCTTGCCTATTTTGTATTTGTTAGTCTCTCACTTATGTCTTGTTTTCCATCTCTAAATTTGTGCTAAAATAGTAATAATTGCTGTATCCTAACTGAAACAGATGTTAGTTTTTTGCAAAGAATAAAGGAGAAGGGAAAAAGACTGCAGAAATAATCCAATGGCATCAAGTTTCGGTTTACCGATATCGATAGCTGTGACCTCCAATCATTCAAAAAGTTAAGTGTGAACTCTATGGTTGACTTCGATGCAAACATTACATCTGATCTTGACATGATTTATTTTGATGGCTCATTTTCAGTTCAATCATTTGAGAGAATGAAAGAAGTTTGCTTGGTTATGAGGATTCAAAGACGTGGGTTGATGCCAAATGCTACATTCCTTGAAAGTTGACGTCCAGCCGCTCCACCTCCATCGCTTCCATAGCATTGATGTAAGAACCCCTTTTCATCTTTTTATGTGTGGCTGACAATGCTCTGTTTATCCTTTACTTCAGATTCCATCTTATTTGTACTTGTTATGATTTTTGGTATTCAGTCTTTCGTCTATGGATCAACTCCTTTGACACATCATTCTTTATCTTCTTTGTTTTTCTCTTGTACCATTCTTTTCTCCCAAGTGAAATCATCTTGGATGGGCTTGGGGGATGTTGAGCTGATGAAAAAGGTAATGGGCCAACTTGACTAGAATCAATGAGGGTTGGCCTAATGAGGGTTGGCCTATGATCGTAGCCAATATAGAAATTTCGCATATTCCAGATGTGTAAAGTCAAGTGAGAACACATAAAAAGCCCAAGAGTTTGCCTCTAGGATCATCTCCTTAGGAAGCATCCTCTGCATTGATTTTGGAGTTCAGTTCTATCCCATTTTTAGGAGTTACAAAATTGTAAAGTACGGTTAGTTCCATTCTTGAACCATGTAAATCCGAATGGGTTTTAAAGATTTTTTAATGGGAGATAATAAAACTTACAATTTACCTTCTCAAAAATAATTCATAAACTACAAATTCATTTATTCTCGAGCTCGATTTCTTTTTATATCTCATTTGATGTAGACTTCTCTTCAGAGTTTTATCATTCTTACTAGTCACAATCATAGCCAATGTTCTAATCGAACAATCTACGGAAAAAAAAATTTAGACGGATATCTTCTGAATGAGAACAGTAGTAGAAAAGAAGATTGATTGATCAATCTCTGAGAAAAAAAACAAATCATTTAGATGGACATTTTCCGAACAGAGTATTGTAGTAGAAAAAGAAGATTAATCGAACAATCTACAAGAAAAAAATAATTCATTTGAATGGACATCTTCGGAACGTAGCAGAAAAGAAGATTGATCGAACAATCTACGACAAAAAAATAAATCATTTAAACAGACATCTTCCAACCCAAGTACCTTAGTAGAAAAGAAGATTGATGAGGCTAACCTAATCTCTTCCATGGAAGTCATTCCACTGCCATGCCATTGGGACTCTGATCTGCACAGAAGAAACCGAAGCACATAACTTCTATTAAAATTTAACATTTGATTTATATTTATTATATTATTTTGAGATGGTCAGTTCTTTAATGGTTAATTATCGTCATAAATGAATAAAATATTGCTTTGGAGAGTATCAATAATTGATAATTCACTTTAAATGCCATTCCAGAGATTTCTGACATCTATCTTTTTTTCTGCCGCCAATCATCAAGGAATCGTTTATCCAATCAAGAATCCCATCCCTAAAATAAAATAAAAACCCAATTCTATAGTTTTTATGTATAAATTTAATATTCTTTGATATATGAAAAAGAAATGTATATTATTTTATCATATGATATTTCATATGATAAATTACAAAATTATTATTTAGAAAAAGTAACTGAAACTTGCGAAGGGTGGAATTTTACTTGCACGCGGTAATAACAAATCGGTTGTTGGAGTGTGGAGCGAAACATTCTTACAGTGGTGTGGAAACCTCTCCATAGCATACGTGTTTTAAAACCGTGAATCTGACGACGATATGTAACAAAGCGGACAATATTTGCTAGCGATGGACAAAGTTATTCCAAACCCGCTAAAAATACTTGTGTGCAACTACGAAACTAGACTCATGGCTCGAGTTGTTTCATGTCATAAATAAACACCAACGCTCATAATATCCGTCAAACAACGAGCTCAAAACGCAAACGCTCAAAAGACCCGTCAAACAACAAGATTCAAAAACAGAGAAGCCTTAAAAAAAAAAAAAAAAGGGTCTGAAGAAGAATCAATACAGAAAGAACAATCATCTTTATCACTTTGTTCCATCAAACTCACAGTCTTAAACTGTACCAATTTAGAACCCTAAACCCAAAAAAAACTAATCATATGGGGTTTTCAAAGTTTCAAGCTTTTTCTTACCATTTTCAAACTCACACTGAAACCCTACCAATTAAGACTGCCCTGTCAGCTGAGTATTTACCCACAAAGGACCATTCTTCTTAATTTCCTAATTAAATTTAATAAAGTTTCAATTTATAGGTTTAATTTTAATATTTTTTTTATATATATTTTTTGAAATAGTAATAATAAAAAATTAATAAAATAAACTAATTTTTTCCAAAAATTTAAATTAAAAATTTCATTTTTACAGTGCAGTGAAGATGGAGATATAAAGTTGGGGTCAGCTTTTTTGACTGTCTTTTCCAATTGTTGCAGTGCAGCAGCTACAGTAACTATTAATAATACTCAAAAGAAAAGTCACCTCTCTCTCTCTAAAAAGCCATAGGAAAGATGATAATTTGCAGGGTTTAAGGTTTTCTCTTTCTTTCATGGCTCCCCATTTTGCAATGTTCTTTATGAACTTTTGCAGAGATGATAAGATGTGTTATATTCTTTTCCCTTTTTTCTTTTTTTTTTTTGGGCTAAGCTTTTAGGGTTTGTGGCCAAACTCGTTGTTATAACGACTTAACCGATAAAATCTAATTTGGTTTGACGAATTAATTTAAAACATGTTTCGGAGCGTTCGATTGTCAAATTGAACTTAAGGGTTTTTTAACAAATGCGATTTTTCAATAACTAAATACTTCAATCGCTGAAGAATTGAATTTTCGAGATAGTTATCTTTCATCTATTGCAGTAGAGCCGTTTTTTTAGCGGGGAGGCTAAAGGCAATTCATCGAATCAAACGTGGAATGAAATCGACTCTCTTTTAGTTTTAATAAAAAATTTGTACTTGACAAGAAAAATACGCCACCTTCCAACGTGCCTTGTACATGATCGTTAAGTCTAGGAACGACTTTCAAATTTTGTCCATTTCGTTAATATTAAATGTTACAATCATTGATATAACCGAGAGGCATTGATAAGCCAATTTCAGGCACGGTATGCTCGATCTTAAGACCAAATGCTTGAATTCAGACCACCACTTGTTGCTGAGCTAAAAAAACGTCAATATGAGCATAATTTAGTGGTTATAATATAACCCGACTCTACCTCTCGTAAAAGGTCACATGTCGGTTTAAATATGCGTATTGTAATAGTGACGTAAAATTGAAGATATGAAATAAAAATTGAAAGTTGATAATAAATACAAAATTCAACTATCTTACTGCCACTATGTCTCTCTAGTGCATGCCTGTGGTCCTTATTGGCATTGAGTTGGATGCCTTTAAATTAAAAGAACCTATATTGGTCCCTCATCTACTAAGTTGGAGAGTTGCTATAGCTTTCATCTTCTAATAACCCAACTTTGTAAATGCCTTACACACCACAAACCCTAATTTCTTGACTCTATGACTTCTTCCCTTTTCCTCCAAATCCTAATTATGCACCAACTTTTAGTTGGATTTCGTATTATTGCTTAAAGTGAGTAGTTTTATGTGATCCCAAAACCCTATCGATAGTCTCTGTGGGCTGTTAGGTAACGATTTTGCTTTTAGTTAGCTAAATTTTTATAACGAGAGTGAAAATTTGAATATATGACATTTCGATTGAGTATATGACGTATTGACCAACTGGGTTAAGCTCAAATTAGTTTTTTAGTGCTACCGAGCTGAATAGGTAATTTTAAAATTTGGTTGAGGATTCAAAAGTATCCTTGTGTGAAATCCTACGTTGGTGGGAGAGGGGAGCGAAACATTGCTTATAAGGGTATGAAAATCTCTCTCTAGCAGACACGTTTCAAAACCTCGAGGGAAAGTTCGAAGAGGACAATATCCACACGGTGGGTTTGGGCTGTTACAAATAGTATAAAAGTTAGATATCGAACGGTGTGCCAGTGAGGATTCTGGGCACCCCCGATCCCACATCGGTTGGAGAGGGGAACGAAACATTGCTTATAAGTGTATGGAAACCTCTCCCTAGTCGACACGTTTCAAAACCTCGAGGAAAAATCCAAAGAGGACAATATCCACACGGTGGGCTTGGGCGGTTACAAATGGTATCAAAGGTAGATATCGGGCGGTGTGCCAGTGAGGATTCTGGGCACCCCCGATCTCACATCGGTTGGAGAGGGGAACGAAACATTGCTTATAAGGGTATGGAAACCTCTCTCTAGCCGACAAGTTTCAAAACTTCGAGGGAAAGTCCAAAGAGGACAATATCCACACGGTGGGCTTGGGTTGTTACAAATGATATCAAACCCAAATATCAGGCGGTGTGACAGTGAGGATTCTGGGCACTCCCGATCCCACGTCGGTTGGAGAGGGTAACGAAACATTACTCACAAGGGTGTGTAAATCTCTCCCTAACAGACGCGTTTAAAGTCCAAAAAGGACGATTGTTATCAAATAAGACCTAAATTAGCGTTATCGACTTTACAACCCCTATCTAGAATTGAAAAGAGATTTCAAAACCAACCCCATATTAAATAAGAACACAAAACCAAATCTTGAGAGAAATAATTACAAAACAAAAGAAGATTTTTGCATACTAAAAGTTAAGAACAATAAATTAGGGTTTTTGATAGTGTCTTTTCTTTGTAATACATGTAGCGTAGCTAGGGCATGCATTGTTCAACAGCTCATGATGTGTAGTAAACAAACCAATAAAGCTGTTTGTAAATGCTGAAAAAGCGTTTAGCCTTTCACTTTCTTCCTTGGTTTGGATATCTCCACATCAAAAATCTTATGTATAACATTTATACCCTAATGAACATAATTAATGAATGAAGTTGTAAAACTTAGGGGTGGATTAATTAGCAGCCCTGCTGACATCATCTTAGTTCAAACGAGTGCCACGTGGACAAATAACGCAACGCCAAGTGGTCAAGAACACACCTTACCTTTTCCTTTTTCTATCTGGGGTTACATAAATTCTTGGCATCTTCTTTTCTTTACCCATTGTACTATCATTCTTGAGTTACAAAGTTTTGATTCCTTGCAAAAAAATGGAGTTTTCGGCTCTAAAACTCGGCCGTTTCTTGCAATAATTTGTTCTTGTTCTTGTTCTTATTTCTCGAAGGTTTTGAATGGATCTGACGAAGATGAGCTCGTAAAAAGATGTTGAGAAGCTCACAAGAAAAGGGTTTTGGAGGCAAAGATGAAGGAATCAGTGATGAAAAATATGATATGGCTAAGGGTTCAACGAGGTCAAGGCAGTGGTCAGGGTTTAGAAATCCAAGAATTGTGAGGGTTTCTCGTTCATTTGGAGGCAAAGATAGGCATAGCAAAGTTTGTACTATAAGGGGTTTGAGAGATAGAAGGATAAGGCTTTCAGTTCCAACAGCAATTCAACTCTATGATCTTCAAGACAAGCTTAAACTTGGGCAGCCTAGCAAGGTCATAGATTGGCTACTCGACGTCACGAAACTTGATATCGACAAGCTTCCACCGCTCCAGATCCCGACCGGGTTGTCTCCGTTTCACCAACATATGCTCTTCCCTCAATATCATCATAATTCCAGTACTCTCCCTCCTCCGTTCGCCTTCGACACGAAGGATTCTTCGACGACGCTTATCAGAGATGTCGTGAATCAAACGACGATGATCGAGAAATCGAAGTCGAAAGGGAAGTGGATTGATGGAGGTAATGATGAAGAAGTTGAAGATTATAATGAGCAAATTATGATAAACAATTGTAATGCTTACAATTACAACACTTGTGATCATGATCATCAGCATTCTTGTGGGGGTTTTCCATCACAAACTGAGGCTCAAACAAGTTCATCTTCATGTTCTTCACTTTTTTTCACTCCATATGCTTCATACATCACAAACCCATTTGAAAGCCACATCCATTTCTTGAGCTCAAATTCTCATACTTTGTCCAATCCCTTCATACCATCATCTCTCCACCCTTTTGCCTCACAAAACTTGAAACCCTTTCCTCCAAACTTCAATCTCAAGCAGCTTCTTCATGCTGGCAACAACGACGGCTGCGGTTCCGGTAAAGATGGGGCGGCGTCTGGTAGCTCATAGAGTGGCCGTGTCCGTGGCCAGTAGAGACGGAGCAAACTCTCTTGAAGGGCGTGATTAGAAAAGTGTTGTTGTTTTGGAAAGGTTTGTAAGTATACATATTCATAGCTATACTCTTTGCAGTTAATCTGATTGCTTTTGATATATAAATGTTGGAGCATTAGATATAATAATGGGTATCATGGTTTGTTCATTGAAAATCTATATATATAGAGAGAGAAACTTGTCTGATTTTCGAAGAAGCTTGTCTGTTATATAAATTGTTTGAAAATCTATTTTTAATTCAACAATTAATGATCTCGAGATTCTCTAGCATTCTCTACTACATGACTGTGTTATTGAACGACTTCTAAGGTAAAAACAATCTTCATAAACCAACACAGATCCTTTTAGGATGGTTTGTTTTAACTCATATGCTTTCTACAAAAAAATTTACGGGAGACTTGTGAGATTTCGTATTGGTTGGAAAGGGGAACGAAACATTCCTTTTAAGGGTATGGAAACGTCTCCCTAGTAGACATATTTTAAAGCCGTGAGACTAATGACGATACATAATAGACTAAAACGAACAATAACTACTAACAATGAGTTTGAGCTGATATACGATTGTTCTAAGTATGCTTAAATTTAGAGTTCTTATGATTGAGCAACCGAAAAAAATGGTGCATTTATCTTTCATGTCCTTAAGATTACTCTAGTTCAAAATGTGAACAACTGACAAAACCTTGTAGAGACCGAACAGATAAGGAGACAAAGGACCAGAAAAAGAACAAACCTTTGAACACTGTAACACTTTGAAAACATTAAAAAAAAAAAAAAAAAAGTAGTTTTCAGCTGATGTTTCTGTCATTAGTCAAGTTCTATTTGGAAAACTTGTAAGAATAAAGGCGAAGGAAGAACATTCTGAAGCTAGACAAGAAAAATGGTAAAAAAAGGGGGTAATTTTAGAGAGAGAATGAAAGAGGAGAGAGATTGGAGAGATGGGTGTGTCTCTGAAGCAGAAGCATTGTTGACAAGATCATCCAACAAACACAGTGGAAAAACATATTGATCCTATAAACCCAGTTGTGTTCTGCATTGGACAAACCCACTCGACACTGTCACTGTCCCTTCCATCATTTTTTTTTTCTTTAAAAAGAAAAAAAGAAGAAAAATCCTTTAATTTGTGGTCCTCTTTCTAGAAAGAAAAAGAGAGGTGGGTAAAATTTTGTATGCCCTAAAAGAAAGATGGTTTATGTGTGTTTGTTGCCATTTTTAGTACATTTTTGGTAATTTATTTCGTGAGATTCCACGTCGGTTGGATAAGAGAACGAAACATTATTCTTTGTTAGGGTTTGGAAACCTCTTCCTAACAAACTTATTTTAAAACCGTGAGACTGATGACGATATATAGCAGGCCAAAGTGGACAATATCGGCTAGAAGTAGACTTGGGCTATTACAAATGATGGCGATATGTATTGTTACAAATTAACATAAGCGAGTGTATTGTGAGATTCTCCATTGGTCGAAACATTCCTTATAAGGCTCGGTGTGCCATCCAGGACAGGAGCTCCCAAGAGGGTGGATTGTGAGACCCCACAAAGAGTGTGGAAACCTCTCCTTAATTGACGCTTTTTTAAAATCGTGAGATTGATGACTATACACAACGGGCCAAAACGAACAATATCTACTAGTTGCACAACGTTATTTGTACAAACACTAAAAACACAGTATAATATCTAATCTAGTTAAACTGATCAAGTCATATACACAGTACCAAGATGACAGAGATTTGAATCTCCTATTACACGTAAAACAAGATATAACAAAGTAGTACGAGGAATGCTCGAGTTTTGAATCTCCCATTACACGTAAAACACAATCTCGTTTCTCCTCTACTTTTTTCTTACTAAATATGTCGAGGAATGTTCGAGTTTCGGGCTAAAGTTTCATAGAGCTACAACGAGAAGAGTGAAGTAGGAACAAAATATTTTCATTGATTTTGATTCTTGTAGTCAAGTATTGCACAACCACCAACCAGCTCAGAACTGCTAATAAGCACAAATTATTGAGCTTGACACCAAAAAATAGGAGGAAGCAAGAGCACAAGTTCATGTGGTCACTCTATGAAAGCAAATATATGAAGGAAAAACCAGAGGGAATGCAAGCAAACTAGCTAATGCATACCTTATAGCTTTATCTTCCAAAGTTCTACCTCACTGAATAACAATCTCATTAACCAAGTCTTTGAAAATCAAGCGCTCGACATCCAACACGACGTCATAGATATCACCACGAAAAGCTGTCCAACGCCTCGGCTGGCGCATCACATCGTCTTGCAGAATGCTTTTCGAGTCATCCTTCTCTCTGTCGAAGTTGCATTCGAACTTCTTGGATTGTAACTGTTCTATTTCATTACACAATTGCTTCAAAATCATTTGTCCACTTAGAGCTTCTTTTGCAATCTTTGTTGGTTTCAACCATGGTTCAGGAGCACCACCATCAATGACAGCTAAATTCTCAACAAGTATCTCATTTACAGCATCAAATATGAGCTTGCGCTCCCTGTTGGAATAGGAAGATATAGCAGGCGAACTACTGGCCTTCGTTTTCTCCAAAACGTAAAATAACTCTGGGTTGATCGGATTACCAGAAGGATGAAGCTGAAACGTGGTCAGGTCCGAGCCAAGATCTTGGAGTAGAAGGCCGGAAGCTAACAATATCTCGGAAATGTATCGGTGATCCGGGTTGGTATTCTCACACAACAATGCAATATAGTCTTTTTCCGCTTCATCCTGATGTGAGTTTAAGTGTCTAAGCTTTTGAATCAGATCATCAATATTTTCAAATTTCATATTGTCAATCTCCACGTTATGATTTAAAACCGAACGATTAACAAAGATGTCGTCTGAAAGATTGCATTGATCTTCGCTATGCCTCTCATTAGAATCTAGACAATCATCACCTAAGAGATACCAAGTTATAAAGTAAAGATCAGCTGCCATGATTTCTGATATTTGGATCAACAAAAAGTTCTGAATCTTTACCTTTCAGAGAGGCATCAAGGATGGTTGTGATTTTTTTTACATGAGATGGTTCATCATCTCTATATAATGAGCCATCAAGGACAGAGACAGGGCTGGGATGCTCTACTGCTAGTGCATCTTGTTCTATTGTCGACCCGTCTTCACCGATTGCCATCATTGATAACTGAGCAAGCAAAAACATTAGTAAGTGGTATGCAACTAAAAGATGAATGAAAAGAACATAAACAAAAGACGAAAACCTTTTTAACTGAGCTGGTTGTCAATAATTCAGCAGCCTCCATCGCTTGCCTCTGGTTGACGTCGGTCTTGGTTGATTGTATGCTGCTATGGACCTCAATATCCATCTTTGAAGTCATGTCATCACTTTGGCAGCTTAAAGATTTTGATTCATTGCTCATCTCACTTGATTGCTCATCGCATTGTCTTATATTGGAAGACTTTGTCTCCTTCGTTTTCCTTTTCGGTTTGTTTGCGTCAGATTTAGGTGGATGGGATCGTTTCTCCACCTCGACCTTCCTCAGTCTCAGTCTTGGACTAACAGAATCTGAACTTTTTATCAAGCTCGTGGTCGAGGTGCTTTCTTTAAGTACTACTTGCGGTTTTGAAGAAGTTTGAGGTGATCTTATATGTCTAGGAATCGGCTTCTTCTCAGAGGTAACGACAGGAAGGTCCTTTTGAGTGTTCTTAAGAAAGCGTGCTCTGGTTTGGCTATTGCTAGATCCTTTTTTACTATCCTGAAATCCTTCGTTTCGGAGCTTATGGAGCACGGGAAAGCGATCCATCGGAATCATTGAGGTTGATATAACTGACTTATCAACAGGTTTAGCAGGTCTCATGATGATAATTGGAGATTCAGCTACATTGCTCCGTCTGTTTCGTTGGCTCATCAATCTAGTCTTTTGATTAGAACTAGAAGAACTTGGTTCTTGGTTCCTTTGAATTCCAAATACTGAACCTTGTTCTTCCATCCCAATTTCGAATAGTGCTCGAGTTTGAATAGCTTCTAGTATCTTTTTAAGTGCTCTAAGATCCTTACTGGACTGTTGAAGTTCAAGATCTTTCAGCCTTGTCTCGACCTCACCGTAAGCAGAGGAGCTTGGTTCTGGACCAGGCCTAAAAGCTGTGCTTTTAGGAACTTGAGCTCCAGCTAGCTTCCTCCAAGGTGCAGTTTCAATAGGGAGCCTTGAATTTGGAATAGGTTTCTTAATCAGATCAAGATTTTTTGTCTGCCGTGGTGAGCTTTTCAGATTTCTAGATTCTAATGGTTTTGCAGAAGATTCACCACCACCACATTGGGTATCTGTAGCCAATAATGAATCTGGCAACGTTTCAATACCCATCAATTTTGCAACAACACTCGGCAGCCGCTTCTGATGCAGCTCAGGGGCTTTGTCAGTAGAGCAGCTACTATTTGGAACATTCCTACAGACAGTTGTTCTGCTGTCCAATGAGAGTCTAGGGAGCTCTTTCAGTTTAGGACTGGACTTGAGGCTTCTTGATTCAAAGGATCGACTTCGGTCTCTACCGTCGTAAGAAAGTCGCGGAGAATCCCGGGAAATTAAACTCTTTCCACGTTTAGCTTCATTCTCATAAGATGATCTTGGACATCCTGTAGTAGCTTCATTGAAGTTCCTGGATGCATCTTTTAGCTTAGCAAGAACTCTAAAAGACTCCTCCATATCGATCTGAATTTCTTGTTTTCGGTTTCTTGCAACTCTTGAAGAAATCTCTGCACATTTGAACATAGGAGGGTGTCTTGGACCGTGATCAAAGTCGTCCACATCGGTCATTTTAATGAACGACGTTCTTACTTCTCTATGTATAGAGTCTTTCACTACATGTTTGATATTGAATGGTTGCCTCTCTGAATAGCTAGAGGGACTTTCAAGAACATTGATCCTGGCTTCTAGTTCTGCAGTTTTGTTGCACACCAGAGAGGACAAAGATGATGAACAGGACGAGAGAGAGTCTCCGGATGATTCTGTATCCACACTTTGTTTGTCGTTCGTGTTCTCATTCAGGCTCGACTCCTGTAATGAAAGAACTTCAAATCTTATCATTTATACAAACAGGCGTGGAATATAACTAGTTTTACTATTAGGATCGAGACGGGATTCGAATAAATAAGTCGAGAGCGAGATGATGTTTGAATTGATTGCAAAAGTTTCTTTTCAAAGGCTACTACGAAATCAAAAGAAAAGTTGGCATAAGAATATTAGGGGCTTACAGTGGCTTTCTCATGGTGATGTACAGTGCTAACCATGTCACCAGAATGGCCTGTACAAGACAAGATTAGATATTGAGCAGTGGAGAGTATTCTAATGGCCTACTGCTAAGAACACCGTTAATGGAAATGCATTGAAACAACAGCTATCACATAGTTCAATACACAATAACCAGCAAAGAGATAAGTGGGAGCTTAAACTTCAAACCAGAAGCAGAAAATGAAGAACTGAAGCATTTTTTTTAATATCTTGTTTATGTTCTTCAAGATATATACAAAAGTTTTGCAGGCAGACATTCAGATGCATAAAACTTTACCCTCTTCCTTTGAGATCGATTAGGACGGTGAAAAACCAAGGATCCTTTCCCTTTTGAGCTTCTTCTTAAGGGTTTTAAAACGTGTCTGCTAGGGAGAGGTTTCCACACTCATATAAAGAATGCTTCGTTCCCCTCTCCAATTGAGGTGGGATCTCACAATCCACCCCCTTCGAAGCCCAACGTTCATCGCTAGCACACCACCCGGTATCTGGCTCTGATACCATCTATAAAGACCCCAAGCCCACCGCTAGTAGATATTGTCCTCTTTGAGTTTTCCCTTTCGGGCTTTCCCTCAAGGTTTTTAAAACGCGTCTGCTAAGAAAAGGTTTCCACACCCTTATAAAGAATATTTTGTTCTCCTCTCCAACTCAGGTGGGATCTCACAAAGTTAGTGACAAAATACAAAACAACAATGATATAAAGCAATCGAAGATGAGATATTTACCGGGTGGGAGCCTCTTGTGACTAATTTGCTTCGTGGCGATCGCATTGTGACGATCAAACAGATGGAGAATACCAGTCATACAGCCTATTTGCTTGCGCAAATCAGGATTGTCATCTGTCAAGGAATGTAGAAGTTTTGCAGCCATATCTTCTCAAACAATAAAAGTGTTCCCTGAGCCCTCCGAGATTGATCTTCTTAGACCAAAGGATTATGCCATATGATCCACCATTCAAAGAATTATGAGCCTCAATATGATCAAAGAGTATTAATCAACACATCAGTTTCTGCCACTGTCCTGTTCATTGCATAGTACAATAAGAATCTAACTTCATTCTCTTTTTTCTTGCCCCACCTTAAATATGGGAAGCCTAAACACAATCTAGGCTCCTACCAGTCCCAAAATGAAAACAGATACTTCCTTGTTTATACCATAAATTAGACCGACATAACTATTTCACTCGGATAATCAATCTGTTCTTCAATGCAAATCTTGATCCCACAGAATTTCCCAGTTGGGTTTGGCAAAGAACACTCTCAATATTGAAAACTTCAGCCCCAGAGAACCAAATCAAACAATATAAACAAGAGGAAGCCGCAAAAGGAGAGACCCAGAAACCAGAATCATCAAGAGTTTCAAGGCAAATACAGAACATTCAAAGAATCAGCGACTCACATTACCTAAAAGAGTGAAATGCGAAATGGGAATTTTCCCTTGATGATCCAAGAAGAAGAAGAAATGTCCCAGAATTGAATGTGCATCTAAGTGATTATATAAAAGAAAACAAAAAACATAAAACTATAAGCTGATTTGTATAACAATCTGAGAAGAATGGTCAACAAAATAAAAACAATAGCAAGAAGGGGGAGAGAGAGAGAGAGAGAATAGAATATGTGGGTCAGATGAGGCCCATTCTAATCGGCCATTTGTGAAGCATCCATGTGGAATGCGTATGTGGGTGGGTCTCAAATTGTCTATACGTCCATGTGATTTTGTCAAAACGCAGAGAAGAGAGAAGGGCGAAGAACGGATCCCATTTTGTACTGAAAAACGGAGAAGAATAAAGAAGAAGAAGAAGAAGTAGAACAAGAAAATATTCCTCTAACCTTCCCCTCGAGGTTCTTCAATGGCGTCAGATTGTGGGTTTCTGGGACGTACTCCCAACAGTACAGTGAAGATCACAGCTTTTGCTTTCCTTGTTTATTCTCACAAAACAGATCATGTGGTTAATTACACACAATCCAATGTGGTTGCTACCTAAGTGTTTGCATATGATACAAAAATTTTCTGGATTTTTTTGTTCAAGTGGGTCACAACTTTATCATCACCAAATTTTTTTTTGTTCGTCAAACCGGACTCGCTTTGTTTTAGTCTTTCCCAAAATGGTTCATACCAGTGGATTCAATCCATCATGCATGTTAGACGAACATGACTCTCTTTATGTGATATTATCCTTGAACCTAAGTTTCTCATGACTTTACTTGCTTCCCAAAACTGTTCGTATCAATTGAGAGAGTATTATTTGATTATAAACGCAGGATCATTCCCTAAATTAGTCTAGTGGGACTTTTATCATCCAACAATTCCATCCTACTCTATTTATATTTCATTCATAAATATCATTAATTTAGTGATGTAACTTGTTGACTAATTATGTGCCCATAGAAATTCTAAATTCTAATTTAGGTAAAATTTTTAATTGATCTATTTGTAGAAAAATATTTAAGCATCTAATTTCTCTGTCAAAACATGTACTTTAACGAGAATAATTTTTTATATTAGGAGATCATTAATTATTTGAAACATTAAAAAAACAAAAAACAAAAAAATTAAAAAAAAAGAGGTTAATATAGCAAAGACAAGGATCTAGCTGTCAAAAACTTTGTTATAAACAAACATGTGAAGGTTTTTAATGATATAAAGTGGTGATGTAATGAAATAAAGAGAAAAGAATATTTTAGTGGAATTAAAATATAGAAAGCTACGCACTGCAAATGTTCCACATGCAGGCCCTAATAATTTATAACTATGTACGTACCAAACAAACACAACATTTCAAAACCCTCATTAAATTATATGTATATAATCACCATAAAGTTATGCCTTTAGTTTTTACCTAAAATAATAATAATAATAACAAACATACTTTACTTTGAAATTCCTATAATTTAACAAGGTTGAAGTTTCTATAATTGAACCATCGAAAACAAGGTTCATTTCGTTAATATAAGTAGTAACTTTCAATTCTTTTAAACATTTCTTAACGATTCTATCCTTAAGAAAATGTCATTTGGAGTATTTAAACTGAGGCTCGTGGCTGGCAAACAAACTCCACAGCTTTATACAAAGATTTTTGGTTGATTTTTAGAACAATTACCTCTTTTAAGAATAAAGCTATCCCACGTATCAACAAATTCTTTCGGCATACTTTATCTTCACTCACATGGTTTCTTTGAAAATTTTTCAAGAGATCCCTTAAGGCAGAACTGCTCCAACAAAACAAGCTTAACTTTGAAGTTGCTATAATTGAACCATCAAAAAACAAGATTCATTTTGTTAGTATAGATCATGTGCACAAGCGAACCAGCTTTCGTCATAGTTCGTCCCCAAACCACATCTTATAAGGATAGTTCGATTTCTTTTTTAAATCAAACTAATTAAAAGTGACTCAAATTTATTAGATTTAAGTAACTAACTACTAAAAAATGTTTTCTGATCTAAAGCAAAAACCAATCATTCTATCATATAACCTAATCAATTAAACGCATGCTTGAAAAAAGAGAGGCTAGGTAAGGCGTGGTATGTTCAAACTGTATTAGACAAGCTGAAGTGACCAATCAAAGTCGTTGCAAAACATTTTCCTCACCTTTTTGTCTGTCATTTTATGTCCTGCCATTCAAAAGTCACTTCACATTGACACGTGATCATTAGATAAATTGGCGACATATAGACATATTAAGACTGTAGTCATTTACATAAATACATTGTAGAATCATAATCAAATACTATATAATAAGTCCAAATGATTATGATTCTACAATCTCAATTGTAGCACACGGACAATACATACCTGGAAACTGATTAGCAAGAGTTTCTTTTGATATATTATCACATGAGAAGGACAAATGAATCCTAATCAAACTTTTAGCCACTCAAAACACCATATTAGAAAGTAAAAACTCAAATGAACGCAGGTAGGCAATTATTCTTCTAAAAGAAAATTCTTACCCAAAAGGAGTAGTAATTCAATAGCGACGTACTTCTAAGATTTTCAAATTTTCTAGTTCCATAATGATGCCTTGGGATGAGCCTCCTCTCGCGCCAAGTGTGGCAATCAATAGCACTCATGGGGCTTTCACGAGCTGTCATTTGGGACCCAGCCACGAGAAAGGGGGCCAAAATGGGCCTCAACTCAAGCGCCAATGGACACATAAACCATATATTTCCAACAAGAAGACAGGAACATACCTGCTCCCTTGAATTGACCACTCCTTTGCAGCTTGAGAGTCGAATCCGACGAACTTCCCCAGAACTGTCAATATCAATCTGCAGCAGAAGCTAATTGTGGCAGACATCAGAAATTAATATTTGTTGGTAACATATGCAAAAGCCTGCAATGAGTTAGAACATTCAAGAATCTGTCACTTCTACATCAACAGAACAAATCAAATTCCTGCTGTTGGCTGAACTCAGAACCTGATCAGGAAAGTTAGAGCCAAGAGATGGAAGCATAACATTAAAGTCAAAATAGCTTTCTTGAATCCAAACATTGCAGAGCGCAGAATTAATCTTCATAAGCGTCAAAGTACATTGCAAAGTCTCTTAATAAAGTAAACTAGATTTCTAGCTGTATTTGATCTATAAACCCTCTGTAGAAAAGTTAGATTGCTCAACCCCAGGAACCCAAGAAAAAAAAAAGAAACTCTGTATGCTTGAATACAATTACAAGTAAATATCATATAGTCTGGTGAAATCAACAAATTAGTTTACAAAATTTCCCACGAAAACGCATATAATCTAGTGAAAATATAGAGGGGAACAAAGGCTTCTAGTCTTGCAAGGCAAGCTACTTCATCCAACTATTATATAGCAAAGAACCATGTGAACCAGTCTTAAAAATATGGTCATGTCCTTGCGAGAATAAACCATATCAGCATGTGGGTATCCTGAAACGGAAATGCCTCCAGAGCATAAGAGATAGGAAGTTAGAACCTACTTCACACTTGAGCCAATGATTACCTACACCATGTTTCCCTCTCACTATTTATAACCGTACGGTAGAAATTCCAAAATGGACTAGATTCAGAAATGGGCTTTTGACCAAATGGATTAAGTTCAACATATTTTTGAACATCTTCTGCCGTAGATACACCCTCCAAGTATGTGCGAAGATCACCACCAGGTCCTGTGGAAGACTAAATGTTAACGAAGGCATTGGCAAAAAGAAGACAGTAATAATGAAAAAGAACTGCGGTTAAATCAGAAACAAAAGATGGAATTTCCAAAGCCTGTAAATGGATTTTCAATACATGCACAAGACCACCCGAGATGGCTAAGAAGCATTACGGGATCAGTATAAAGCAATTCCATACCTTTAAAAAAATGATATTCATATAACTTTCAACAATTATCTTAATTTTAAGGTAAGAACAAATAAAATATCCTCGAACAAAAAACATATATTTCATATGCATTTTACAAGATTTTGTGCCCAAGGGTTATTCTTCATTAACTCAATCTCATAAAAACAAGGATTATAGTTTTATGAAAATGAACCAAGATGCATTAGAATATAGTTCTAAGAAAAAGAACTTGGTGCGGCATATTAAGTTCCAGGTTTATCGATAGCAACCTATTAGAATATAAGCATGGGCAAATTTCCACACTTGATTGATTGTTGGTTGGAGAATCTATGGCAGCCAGCCTCACTCAATTTGGATGGGCTCCCGGAGCAAAGGAAAAAAAAAAGGCTATCTTTTGTTAAGAACATTATTATGGACTAATGTCTCGGAAGAAATAGTTGAGTGTTTTCAGGCTAAGGCACTTGGGGTGTAAGAACTTGTAACTATTCTATCCCCACAACTTGCAGTAGTTGGAAGAGCTTTCTGTAACATCCCCAGTGGATTTTCCCCACCTATAAGAAAGAAAGACGGAAAGAGAGAAGGAAGAAAGAAAGAAAAGAATGATTTGACTTTCTTTAGGTTTGTATGATTGAAGAGACAAACAAAACAAAAAGTCGTAAATATTAAGTTGCATGCAAGTATGCCCAGACACTCACCGTTATATTACAAAAAAAACTAACACTATTCTTTAACTGTACACAACAGTTCACCTAAAACTTCAGCTCTTTATGCATGTGGCATAGTTCTTACCTAATGATGTATCATCACTGTCCTTGTACCTATATGTAGGGGGAAATACTGCAGTATTAGCCTGAAAATGATGATAAGACCAGCCAAAGAAAATACTAAATCAGCTTCAAAGCAATTTAAAGAGTACATAACCTCAAATGAGAAAGAGTAGAGGTTTTTCAACTAACTGGATTGCGCAAGGCCTTGTATGGGGTATCATCCAACAACAAAGTATTTGATGCATTATACTCCCCCTTTTTCCATGGAAGATTCGGTTCCAAACTTTCCCATATTTTTTTCAGTTCCTTCAGAACAAGGGGCTTCCTATCGTTCTCAATAGTGGTGAACCTTGTAGTTGTACAGTGCGATTGATCCTGCATCAACCATCATAGCATGTCATATTTTTCATTCACCAAGCACCACAAACTTAAAAGTTAATGTTTTTTTGTTAACTTGAATTCTCATATCAAAGATCAAAATAAACAAAAGTTTAGTATTAATCAGGTTATATATATGCCACTTTTCCAGTAAAAAAATATTTATTCTACCATTAATAATGCAACATCGCAGGCAACAAAACTAGAAAAAAATCGTTAAAAAGAATATAACCAAAATTAACATGTAAAATGCAACCCCACAATTTCTTAGTAGCAAGGTGATGCATACTCCTATTGTTGTTGAGATATAACTTGGCTTACCCAGCAAAATAGTAGCTTGTGTCTGGAATCTCTCATAATAAACTTAACTAACGTGTTTAGGTTCTTCCTGCAGAAAATAACACGAGATAAGTGCATGACTAGTGTCAGTGCTAAAATTTTGAAGTTAATGCCAAAATAACATATGCACTAGAACGAAGACAACTGGAAATCATAAATAAAACTGATATTAGTCGAAAT